GACCATTAACTTTCTCTTTGTGCAAGTATCTGTGGATGTGCAAAAATCAGAACACCAGAAAGCAGAACTATGTGACGTGGACATGGAATCCTCTGGGTTGTCGATTCTAACCTTTGTTGGACAACTGCTTCCAATGCTAGTCTGAGGTTTTCGTGGAGGATTTTCATCAGTTTCAGACAATTCCAACCGTCTCAAATGAGGCCTAAGATTTTCTTCAACACATTGATAGCAGCAAATTTAACAACAAAACAATGAATATTGAAAGCTTACCCTGAATTTTCAGCCGTCGATATCACTGCTAATTTCATGAAAGCACCAAAGAATTTGGCAACTCAAATTCTTTCTAAACAATCACCTGAAATCATAGCGCACAGGAAAATTAAATCACCTCAAAGCAGAAGCCTTAACATATAAAGATTCATCAATTGTTTGGGGAAAATACTATATGAAAAAAAAGATATCACGGGAAAAAAATGCCTACTTACCTAAGTCCACCGTTCAAGTTTATTAGCGCTTTGAATCATCTCCCAAAACAATCAACTCTTGGAACTAATAATAAGCAGAGATGACATGATTTGGTTGTAACAGAACTTCAAGATTCACATCATTGTAACAAAACTTCAAGCTTTTTGTGAGATTTTTCTTCAAAATGTAAATAGACCAGGACAATCTCTTAGGTACTATCAACTTAGTATTCATTTGAATCGGAAGCTTTTTAAAAATGTAATGAAGAACTGAAAACGATGAGCAACCTTACTGAACAAAAGAGATTGATCCAGCCACATTAAAGTAGAATGATCCTGAAGAAACTGATATCATCAAGGAAGATACAACAATATCATGAGATAGAAGAGGGGGATGGAAAGCGACGGGCAAAGCAGAGTGAAAGAGGGCATGAAAGAAGAAAGGATAGATGGGATTAAACTAAAACAACAACATGGACTGAGTAGTTACTAAAAAAGATAGGTTGCGGAGTACACCGAAGACGTGGAAGTAAGTGAATATGACCAAGACAAAATAGGGATAGAAGTACAAATGATTCAACATTTTTCATAGATCAATAATTGTACTACACATTCCTTTTCTTGATCTACTTTATACCAAAGGGAATTTTAATCAATTTTTCTATTGTAAAGATCGTATAATGTGGGGTTGATTTCTACAACATGTCTATATGAGGATACATTCATAAAAAAAGTTTCATTGTATTTCTCAAATTTAAGTAATATTCTATTGAAAAACCTCACTGACATACATTGTTTTTCCTTGAGTACACATATACATTATTTTCAAGATGGCATCCACAAAATATGTTTGATTCCTTTTAATTGTTCAGTGATACTCATCCGATCATGTGGTAGAATATTTATTTATGACAGAATAAAAACGCCATCTTACTTGTAGTGTTATTCAAAAGTTGTGTTCATCTAACTTTCCAGTAGTAAAGTTACTTGTAGTGTTATTCAAAACACCATCTTACTTTCTATCAAGTTCAAGTAAAGAGGACCACTTGGTGTTCAACTCAATGTTTAATATATATAGCTATAAAGACGCACGATGAAAGAATATACTACTTACAACAAACAACATCATTCTTCATAGAAATAAAAATTGTGTTATTAATGGGAAAAAAGGTAGTAGTGGTCTAACAGCTAGCATCCTACTTGTAGAAGGATAAATCAACCAACTCCACATAAACACAAACTTGATTTATAAAAATTATAGTAATGAAAAAGTATAGCAAGCATATGTTCAAAACATAAGTTCAAACTTAAACATAAAAAAGTGAAATGTCATGAAAATACCATCTACAACACACTGCACAACTTTAAGCATTCCAAATTTTGTCATCCATTTATTTGTCTGATTTTTCTCTTCTCTTATCCTTCATTTTGGGGTCTTTGAAACGTTATAAGATATATTTTTTCTTCAGGACCTTCAAGATGTGAACTTGATTTGAATAACCAGAACATCAAAGAAAAAACAATAGATAAATGGGAGGGAGGAAGGGGGGTTACCTTGTGTGAAGGTTAGGCCAATTCTAGCTTATATGTAAATTTAATTTTTACAATTTAAAAATAGTGTCAGACATCAAAAAGTGTACCAGGTAATGAAGGCAATTATATGAACAATGTTCATAAAGATCTACTCTTGTGATATACTATGATTTTTTTCTCAATTAAAAATATAAGAACATTAAAAGAAGCCTCATTAAGTATAGCTTTATGACTCACTAAATTATTCTCTGTCCCAAATCCTGAGCCCTTTTATTTTACTAATTTCTATAGTTATAAGAAGTCACTCATTTTTTTTTTTTACATGTATTCTGCATATTAAAGTGAATTTTCATATTCATGAGTTGCGTCGGTGATAATTTCTCGATCCTAAGGACAACAAAAAGATAAGTAGACTTTCATCAATGAAAATTTTCGAAAAATACAACTAAACAATTAAGAGTAGAACTTCACTTATGAAGAAGCTCGATTTAAAAAAAAAAAATAGTACCTGAAAATAATAGCAGTGTCATTCCGAAATATGTCAAGGGCCTTTTCATAATCTTAAGAGAGTGAGTGTTTTCAAGATCCTGCACCAATTTCTCATAGCTCTTTGTCTCTATCGTCGTTACTGCCTGCCCTAACAAGACATTAACCCAAAGAAATATAATTTTCAGGAGCACGCACCCAACATTAAAGGAACATAGACGGAACATGCGCCGAACATCAAAGGAACATAATTTTCAGGAAACTTGGTGCGACATGTTAAAAGACCGGCGTTCCACATGACTGAGAAAGTCCTATCATGACATTTCAATGAAGAAGTTGATAATATATATGTGAGAAAGCAATAGCATATACACTGCACATTACACAAAAATAATAAAACAAAAAGATAGAACTTTTTTATGAACAAAGAGATTTAATATCACTGTTGTAGCTGTGATATGGAAACACATGTTATGAATAATCTTTCGTTTTTAAATATACTTGGAATGGAAATGATAACATGCCTAATTGGATACCAAAGAATCACAAGCCCCACAAAATTATTTTACTATTTTCACATAAAAAATTTACTTCTTAGTTGATAACAAACTTATTTCCAATGAGCCTTTTAACATCATATATAGTACGTTCTAGGTTAAGACCTTACCATATTCCCTTGCTTCCCCCTACCTTACACTTTCTGCTCAAATTAGAGAAATCTCCTAGAAGAGTAACATATTAGATCAGTTAAAAACAACAACAACAATTACAAATTTCAAGAAAGTAACTACAATAATTAAATATATCTAGCAAATTGTTACCTTGTCATTGAACTTAAGCTCAACTTTTAATGGTTTCATTGTCGAGTTGCGAAATAAAAGTCACCAACATGATTTCATCTGATGGTTGAAAGAAAACTCCAAGTATCTTTAATACAGAGTCTTTTAAACTTCAGCACAAGCTCTTCAAACTAAGTGTCAAGCTCAACAAAAGGAACACAAAATTAAGTATCCATTCAAAAGTACTTACCTTGCACCAAAGTTTACTTCCAACTAAGATGATTTCTTTTGCTAACATATTCAGAGGAGAAGTAATTTTTACATTCGGAGTCTAACCTTAGTGAGTAAACTACAATAGAATTTTATATACATAAGTTCCTGGAAGACGCTCTCAAATATTAAGAAGCAGCTGGAACTTTAATGTCATCTTTTAAAGTATTATCATAAGAATTGATTTGTACGCTTGCCCATAAAGATTTATATACATCAACTTCCTATTAAAAGTAGAATATTTCAACACATCATTTTTCAGAGGGCTATATCATTATGGATTATCTATCCTTTTCATTTATCTTGCAAGGTAAAGCGAGCATAGAGACTAAAATAGGTGAATATAAGAAATGTTTGTATGGAATCTTGAATTCATTTTCTAGTGCATCAATGTTTAATATTACCGTTTTAGTCTAAGAAGTGAATGAAGGATAGAGAAGGAGAAAAACTGAAAATTATATATCATTTTATTTTAAATACAAACATTTCAGAACGTCAAAGAGAAAATCTTCACAATCTAGCAAAGGTGAAATGTCAAATCCATAAGGAAGTAAATATGTACAAAATATTACTGAACCCATATGGTTAAAGCAAAACTCATTTGAAATAACTAAAAGAAAGTGACAGATTGCGTTACCTGTAAATCTAAAAGAAATTGGAGCTAACGATTAGTAGGAAAAAAGTATATACACAACTTTAGCAGAGGGATGCATAACAGAAGTGATCTGCCTCAATCAGAAAGATTTACATACACGTCCAAATTTAGCAGAATCGTTTTATCTTCAAGTATAAGACATTATAGTCCATACACAACTTTAACATTTAATGATCGATAAACAAAGATGACAATTTATTCTAACCGTACCGAAATATAAAGGTGAAACTAATGAGAAAGACGTTGACTTAAAAACACATGAAGATCGTAATTTCTTTAGGAGAATACCAAGGACGAAAACTATTTATCAACGTATCCATTATTCATTTAGTGAGTCCCAATTTCTGAAAAAGAGATATGTACACAGAAAGGTAATCCAGCTTTCGCTAGCTTCTTGTTTGTTTTATTTTGTTAAGTTCCAAGATGGTTGGATTTTCAGTTCATTCAATTTAGCCAACATGAAATGGAAAATATAAGTGAACAAAGAAGCTTTCAAACCCCTTGAAGGCTTAATAGAGTACTAATGATCGAGAAAAAGAAAAATGAAGAACAGTTATAATGGTAGCAGAATGTAACTCCTGAAGGTCAGTCCCACAAAAGGGATTATCTCACATAAGATTCTACATTCAAAAATTATAGCAAATGCTCTGAAATAAAAATATCGACAGCACACATATCACGGATAGAGCTGAATATGAGCAAGTATAATACTATGCCAAGGAAAAAATGAAACAAACTGTCACAATCAAATTAGAGAAGATGAAGCATAGTTAAGGAGTATAACTATTTAGATTGCAGACCAGAAATCTATGAACTTACCTGTGAAAATTGGAGAAATTGAGTAGATTTTTTTTTAATATGAAGTTTCTATGCCCATCCCAGCATATCGTGTTTGCAATCATCTCATTTCTAATGTGTTGTAACTTTTTCAAAAGATTGTGATTTTCCGGATAAATTGTGAATTTTACAAAGGATTGTGACTTTTCCAAAAGAGTTATGAATTTTTCAAAGGATTGTCACTATTTCGAAGAGTCGTGACTTTTCAGTCAAGGCAGACCAAAATTTTTTTTAAAATAAAAATGAAACAGATAAATAGGGAAACGGACAGGAGAAGGAGCAAAAGAACCAGAAGCAACAACATCTAATTAACCCTAAATCCAGTGCATGCAACATTACTAAAACAGAAAAGCGAAATAGATCAGCAAAATTGAATGAAAAATCGAACCAATCGAATAAAAAATCGACAAAATATGACCTAAATTCAAAACAAAAGAAATAAAAGCACAAATATCGATAGCCGTCAGATACTATTGGAATTCTGTGGGAAGATTTATGATAACATTTGAAAGAAGATGGAAGAAAGCTGGTTAAAAAGTAACAATTGGAAGATAATAAAAGAGGTAGTTGATATGGAGAATTGGTAAAGTTTCATCGGACATCCCTATGCCTTCCATGAAGACGAACATGAACAATACGGTCACTTTGCAGAGCAAACTTTTTCTTAAAAGCTCGGACATAGAAGATAAACAAAATCAGTACGTGATTTATTTTTCTAAGTACTGAACTTTCTGCACATTACCCGATCCAATCTTCCCAATAAAGAAGACAATCAAAATTTTCAGAAAAATAAACTAAGCGAAAAAGGAGAAAATACGAAGGGCTCTTCGACCAACCTTGTTCAAGGACCAATTTAGGCTTTCCGTTAGAGCTGGCACAGCAAACATGTTAATTTGGCTTAAACGATGACGCAATACCTGTGTAGGTCATCCGAAACAAGCAGAAATGTTGAGGCAAGCTTGACAATCCGATTTGAACCCTGTAGACAAACAGAAAACAGCAGCCAGCAGATGGATTCACCATCGAAGAGGTGAGAAGCAGAAGGAACAGTTGAGAGACTTTACGAAGGAGAAGAGTAAGTCAAAGCATGAACAAGTACCTGCGCAGCTGGTTCGAAAGAAACCCAGATCTTCAGCAAAGGCGGAGAGAGAGATTGAAATTGTGGCTTGAGAGAGAGATTGAAAGTGTGTAGAGAAAGAGGAAATACTAAGGAGCAGACGTATTAGCCATTGAAGAGATCACAAGTAGAAGGAAGAGTTGAGAGAATAGTGCTATTGTAGGAAGGAGGCGAGAAATTAGGGTTACCAATTTGTCTGATTATAGGAACAAAGTTGTAGAGAAAGTGTGTTTATTTATTGATATACAATTAGTACTACCATTAGTACAATCCCAAAATGCAGTATTGGTCCTTTTTAAGTGTCACTTCTACAGAAGGGTAAAATAAAATAAAATAAAAAAATATATATAGTAAATTTATCATTTTATTCTTATTAATTATGAAGTGGATAATTAAAATTTTAAAATTTTTAAAAAATTCAACATTTTTCAAAGTAATAAATTGAGGATATAATATAATTTTTTTTTTTTGTCTTTACTTAATTTGTCAATATAGACAAATAGTTAGAAACAGCTAAAAATGAAAAAATTAATAAATAATTAGAGACGGAGGGAGTATCTTTTATCTCAAACATTGCCACATAACCCATCTAGATTCTTCCATGAAATAATTTTGTGTGTATAAAAATAAAAACTTATAAGTGAAAAATTGAAATTAACTTTTCCAGCAAAGAAAAGGTTAGCCCAGCAAAAAAAATACAATGAGGCAAAACAGAGAGTTTAGGAATTTTCTTTACAAGGGTGGTTGCCCGTCTCTTGTTTTAGCCAATGATTTTCCAAAAAAAAAAAAAACAACAACCCTTGGTTATGTTAATTACTGGATCATTGAACTTGGAAAGCATATATATACTACTAGTTTTTTTTGTCTCTGTTAGACTATGTATGTATGTATGTTTGTTGATTTTCCCATAAAATTTGAGGCGGTGATGATGATTTCTTCGGATTCTGGGCTAGCTGAATCGGAGATGGAGACTATCCGATCCGTATCTTGGCTTGGCAAATCATTATTTTGCAGCCATGGCGTGGTCGCTTCTCTTTCGCCCCGATCTCTTTGCAGATTTGAGCCTCTAGGCTCTAAATCTTAATCTTTCGTGTTTTGCTTATTCTCTAACCTACCCAGCTGACCCCAACTTCCCCACTTTACCTTCTAATTCTTTCTTGTTTTTTTTTTCATAAATTATATATTTTCTTTTTGATTTTATTTTTCATAAATAGTACTTATTCTATTCCTAATTATTTGTCTATTTTTTAATTGACGACATAGTAAGTTTATCACTTTATCTTTTATTAATTATGAAGTGGATAATTTAAAATTTTACGGTTTTCAAGAAATTCTACATTTTTCAAAATTAATTAATGAATGGTATAATAGATAAAAATTTTTTGTCATTTCTTGATTTGTTAAAATAGATAACTAAAAAGGAAATATTGGACAAGTAATTAGAGACAGAGAGAGTAAATGGAAAAGGGCATACATTTTTTTAAATTTATTTCAAAAAGTTAGTTACACGCTTAAATTATTATCACGACATATTACACACACATCTTTACTATTTAAAAGTGAATTTAATATCACCCTTCGTTACTTAACATCACTCTCACAATATATGGTGTGTTACACTTGCTGCTACATCGGCACTGCGTAGCTGTAGCGATACATCTGAATTTATAATTTTTTATATTCTTTTTTTTTTTTTTTTTTTTTTTGTTTTGTCCTTGCCTTACCCCTCTCC